AAGCCACGAAATGTTAGCATTAGATAAAGGCTTAATTTGAATCCAACGAAGTTTATGTTCCGGGGGCGGAAGAACCCGTAAAGAACTTTAATCTGAATCTCCCTGCCGACGTCCGTGTTTGTCGAAACTGATTACTACAGGCTAGTGCAAAGTGAACATTTTGCTTAACCTGCGTAAAAGGTGTCGAATGGGGCAGGGAAGCCAAAGGCGATATTATCCGATCAGTTGTACTTATGATCGCCTGTCAGGAATATGACAGTTGATGAAAGAGTGTATGATTTAAACTAGCAGGAACCAACGGTTAGAAAGTGCGCGTCAACATGTACGGTTACCTTAAAGAAGCGATTAATGTTGAGAACCGCTTTGAAATCTTAATTGGGTACGTGAACCCCAAGATAAAGCCTTTTTCAATCGCCGGTGAATCTGTGTTCATTGACCAAAGGTCGTTGAAAAGAGATAGAAAATGAAGAAGAAAGTTATTGAAGCTTTCAGCTGACAAGCGACGTAACATGGTGGAAAACGTATGGAAAAGTAAACGTATAGTGTAATCTGAATTAAAAGGGCAATGTTAGCTGGAGAGCATGCGCGCTGAGGTTATGTTCACTCGTGTTGCAACTTCATTCTCGTAACCACTCACTATTACACATGGCTTACCTCAGGGCTCAATTCTCGGCCCAGCGCTTTTGAACCTGTACATGAATGATCTATCCTAAGTCATTAAGCTTAGTAACATCGTTTTACGTTGATGACCCTAAGATATATTTCTCGTTTGCGTCAAAGGACTTTGATTTATGCCTGCGCCTAGTTGCTGAGGATGTAAAAAATGTTTCAGAGTGGCGTTGCGCTAACCACCTTTCGACCAATCCTGTGAAAACTAAGTTTGTCCCGTTTGGGGTGAGGCAACTTATCTCCAAGTTGCCCAGTAACATCACCGTACCTTTCCTTTGTCAAGATCTAGTACCTGCAACTTCCGCCAAGGACCTTGGCTTCACACTTGATTCGAACTTGACCTTCAATATCGCTACACTAACCTCCTCTCTTTTGTCCACATTAGTTCAAATAAATAGGGAACGACACTTCTTCTCTAAAGATGTTACGTACATAATCGTAAATTCCTTAGCATTTAGCAATTAAACTGTTCTTCTGCTCGACCGTATGGTCTGGAATTTCTGAATGTGATGTCGCAACTGTTCGCGAAGACACAAAAACATAAAATCTATCAGGTTTTTTTTACAAGTTTTGGAAAGTTTTCGACGAAAAAATATAAAGACAATTTTACAGGAAATGAAGAATTTATTCAGTCTGAGACAGCAGCAGTTACAAGTGATTAATATATTCTACTGACGTACTTTTAGCATTTCATAAGCTCACTTACAGCCAATGCAAATGCATCCTGAAAACACGAACAACACTTTCATTTTTTTTACTCTAAAAGATACAGAGATTTTCCTTACGTTACTATTTTGAGGCCATTATTGAGTAACAGCTCCTGTACTGTGTTCCACAGTAAATTCCTCTTATCAATACATATTTGATGACTGTCAGTATAGTGACGTATTCAAAACAGAGAGTGGCTATTACCTCACAAATATAATCTAACTGACATGTTTGTTCCCTTTCAAAGCCTGTTAAAACACAAAACAGGGAGTAAAGATGTTACAGTGGTGCATATACTGCTGTTTCATAAAATAAGAAATACAACAGAACTGTTAAAGGACCCAAATGAGTTAGGATGCGATAACAAACATCACACAAATGGATGGGTGAATTTGTCTGTTATTTTGATTATATTAATTACATGCATTAAAATGTTTCTTTCGAGAGTTGTACAAAAAAAAAAAGATGGAAAAAATTATCCGCCACTTGTCTCTGAGGGCTGCTCGATCCTCGCAGGGGTCAAGGCTCTGGACTGTTTCCTGGTGGTTCACCAACTGCACTTGCGGGTGGCTCTATTTCCCTGGACTCTCTTCTCGTGACTGGTGTGGGTGCTTGGACTGGAGTGGGACTGTGTGGATACGAATTTTTTGTGTGTGGCCTGAGGTGTGATCTTGTGCGTCGGTATACGCCTTCTGTGGTGTTGTTCTTGTCGATGTACGATCGAGGTTCTTTTGCTTCCCTCAGGACGGTTTCTGGTTCCCAGGTCTTGGTATGTTGCTCAGGTGTGCGTACTGGCTGGCCTAGGGGCAGTGGTTCGAGGGTTGAAGAGGGTTGGGCCTGCTTTCCGGTTATAATAGAGATCATAGCGCATAGCCGTCCTCAGCTGCTCCTTAACAAGCCCCGGATCAGCTTTAAGGCTTGTACGGTTGGACTTTGTTAAAGGGGCACCTTCAACCAATGTGATTTGCGGTCGTGCACTTCACCGAAATCATTTGCTGTAATACGGAAACTACGAACGTTCTGATTGTATTTGAAAATCGGATTGTATCTTCACAACCTAAGGAAACGGCAGGCTGTGATACCCTTCTTAAAAGAAACAGATACAATCCTGTTATCAAACACAGAAATCACGTTCGTGATTTCTGTAATACAGCAAATGATTTCGGTGAAGTGCACGACCGCAATGCCGCTGGTTGAAGGTGCCCCTTTAACAGTGTCCTGAACCCGCTATTGGTTAGCTCTGCCTGTAACTTCAGGTGGTGGTCAATGATTGCGCCTCTGTATGACAACAGTGTTAGGTAGGGATCTCCTTCTTCTTCGTCACACTTTTTCAGAATGTTCTTCTGTACCATGTGTTCAGAGGACCCGTTTGCTTGTGAATAATGGGGAACTCAATATCATAGGATTCTGTGAAATTTTTGAATTCCTTGGAGCTGTACTGTGATCCGTTGTAACGCCTTCCATTCATGAAAATAGAGCGCAAACAAAAATTCAAAAACATTATATGAAATTCATTTTTCATAAAGTAGGACATTAAGTTTCGGTGATCCTTACATGAGAAAAATGCTAATGGTTTTCCAAGGTCAGCACTTTTCAACATCCATCGAAAGTCCCTTGGACACCTTATTAAATTTACACAGCGTAGTATTCCCTATCGTTTCGGATTAGGGTTAAGCAATGCCTTTAGTTTGCCTTTAGGGTTAAGCACTGTTTCGAAACTGGTTAGGTTCGTTTTGGGGTTGGGGTTGATGTTATATGTACTTAAATTGTTTCCCTTTGACTCCCGAGTTGTTCTGTAATATTGCTTCAGTTTTGACATACGTACACTAAATAACATCTCAAAAGTTCCCTTCGAGGTAAAAGTACCTACAATCGTACATATTTAGAAAGTAGACATATCAGGGTTTCAAAATACATACATATGTATTAACTTAACGTTTGTTTGGAGAGCTGTTTGCCTTTAGCGGTCTCTTACCGTTGACACTGTACATCTTGTGGCCACCGAAGCCCCCGCTTGCTCTCTTTCTTCTATATTTTCTTGACCACCACACCGTCTATCTGCATGGTTAAGCTCTGAATTGTTGCGGCCAGTATCTTCCTCCATTTAAGCGGTCTAATCTTCACCTAACCTGAATCATTATTAGTTCGATCAGCCCCATTCTTATCTGACGCAAAGGTTATAATAAGGTTATAATAATAATAATAATAATAATAATAATAATAATAATAATAAAAGAGTTTTTTTTACCGATGGCCTATGTCACATAATAGGGCACTGCATAAAAACTAAAAACTTCAGTACTAAAAATGACAAAATATTAAAATAGATGAACTTAAAAAATATCACACTAAGCGAACTTATTGAGATTTAAAATGTTTAAGTAATGAAATTTTAAAAGCAGTATAAGGTAGACATCTTATGTCCTCTGGAAGGGAATTCCAGTCTGTCAATGCACTATTAAAGGGTCTGAGTAGACCCCATTTCGTGTTTGATCTAATAGATCTAATAGTTTCCTTGGAGCGGGTGTTATGGCTATGATAGTCTGAACCTCGAGTTATCATACTGTTTCTTTCACTGTCATTAATAAAATCATGCATAAAGAAACACCGTTGAATTAATCTTCTGGTTGATAGATTCATCCAGTTCATGTCTAGAAGTGCTTGAGTTGAAGAAGAATGCATCGTTCGCTCTAGAACTAGCTTGGTGAAAGGTTTGAACCCAGGAGTCATTTCAAAAGTAGGTTGAGTTTGATCGTGCAGGAGCTGTGCGGGTGAACGTAGTCCTGAATAGGACTGTTGTTGTTGACAGTGACTGACGTTTCAACAACCTGTGCGAGCTTGTGCGGCAGTCATCTTCAGAGTCAAAGTGAATTATATTACGTCAGTTGATGGTGTTATACTCTGGTTATTGATGTGATTGGTCAATTACGTCGCGATGTTATTGGTCGTCTGTCAGTTAAGCCGTGATGTTATTGGCTATGGAGACTCGTAATCAGTAATTGGTGCGTTTCGATCCTTCTATTGTCCCAGTTAAACAGTCGTCTATTGTTAGTCAAATTGTCAGTTGTCCAGTCGTTCCCTCGTAGTTAGTTTTGCTTGATCTCTTCAATAAGTCGTTTGTCGGCGCTGATAACTGTTGGCTACGATTCAGTGGCATTTGTTCTAACTTAGTAAACCAGCTTTCTAAAGTAAGACGTGGATAGTAGTCTGTAGAATTCGTTATACATGTCGCAGAGTCCCAGTCGATTTGATGTTTCGTCTGTAAATGGTTCTCAGCAATGTGATTGTTGACGTCACCATTCCTCGTCGCTCGTTTGTGTTCGGTCAGTCGTGTGTTAAGGTTTCTGCCGGTTTCCCCAATGTAAGAAGCCTGGCAGTCGCAGCATTTGATCTTGTATACTGCTCCCTGTCTGTCCTCGGTTTCTCTTTGTCCTTGACATTAGTAAGCAGTCGTCGTAAAGTGGTTATCGGTTTGTGGGCAACACGTATATTGTAAGGTTGTAATATACGTGTGATAGTTTCACAGGTGCCTCTGATGTACGGCGGTATAGTCGTTGTCGTAACAGGGCCAGAGTTGACGTTGGTCTAAGTGTTGGAATCAGTGTTACTGTGAGTGTTCCGTCTTACAAAGTCCGTGTTGTAATTGTTCTTACTAAAAACGTTGTTAAGATAATCAGTCTCGTCTTGTAGGCTGTCAGGTGAGTCGCAAACTAGTTGCACTCGTCTCGTCAAATTCCGGATGGTAGTAGCCTTGTGAGGGGTCGGGCTGTACGAAGACTGGTCTAGTAAACGGTCGGTATGTGTCGGTTCTCTGTAAATAGTCGTTTATAGCTTGTTGTTGTCGCGAGTGACCAAGCAGTCTAGAAAAGGTATCTTACCATTTTCTTCGATCTCCTTGGTGAACTGTATGTCTGCGTTCTGTGTGTTAAGGTGTTCGTGGAAATCGTCGATTCCGTCTTTGTGTACGGCGGTGAATGTGTCGTCAACGTAACGTAACCACAGAGGTATAGTTCGCGTGTAGGTAGCTAGGGCTTGTTCCTCGATGTTTGTCATGACAATTTCTGCTACAACAGGAGAAACTGGAGAGCCCATAGATGTACCGTGTAACTGTAATGTTTGCCGTTGTACTGAAAGTACGTCGAAGTCAAACAGAGGTTGAGTAGGTCCATAATGTCGTCTGTAGGTAGTGGTAGTTCAACGGTAGAGTTCTTAATAGCGTTGTCAGTACAGTCTAGAGCCAGTTGAAGTGGTATATTGGTGAACAGTGATTTCACGTCAAAAACACTATTTTGTGGTCGTCCGGTATCTGTATTGTCTTAATGGCGTCAATAAAGTTCTCAGTAGACTGTAGTTTATGTCTAGATTCGTCAGTCAGAGGTTTCAGTACGTTAGTTAAGTATTTAGACAGTTGGTAGGTCGGGGACCCACAGAAAGAACAACGACGCTACAACAGACTGGGGTGTAGTGTTCCGCAGCCACCCAAGCTGTATGGACTACCAAAACTACACAGACCCAACATACCTATGCGACGAATGTGAGCTTTCGTTCGCAGATACACATAATGACTGAATGAACAAAGGTCATTTCACTAAAACCCACCATCACGGAAATTTCAAAGGAAAATCATGTATCACGAGTGTGAAAATAGTAAATCACGCATCACGCTGCTATACCCAATCACGCCTTACGCGGCTAATTTTGGCCCTCATCACCTATCGTGCTGCTAATTTGCGTCCCATCACACGTCACGGTAAAACCCCATTTGCCATCCTGGCATAGTGATCACTAGTGACCGCCATCTATTCTGGTTACCAGATTTATCTTGAAAAAACATTGCGCTTCGGCTCGCACATACGCAATTCATGAGATTTACCCCTTAACTTTCAATATAGGAGCGCGAGCTTGAGTTCATATTCTTTTCAAAAATCTTTATCTTTATAAACCATTGCGCGTCCAGACGGACAACACTTAAGACCCTCCCCAGTAGCCAATGGAAAAATGAAATTTTCTTACTTGACCAGATTTTCGTTCACATTGGGTTACGAGATTATTCAATACGCTCCAAAAGTGAAATTAATCACTAATAGTTAACCATATGCATGTCGTACCCAGAACACTTGAGACTCTTGAGGACAAAAAAGTTGACAAGAGATCAGGGGAGGAGCTTAGGTTTTAAGAGGGAGAGTCAGAGGTGTTGGCTCTGAAAAAATCCAGTGCACCCGCGACCTTAATATAATAGTTTTGTTTTAATCCGACAGCGTTAATTGAAATAGATCTACGTTCCCTGACAGTTAAAATTTGCTGTTATAGGTGAAAGAACTACAACAAAAAAAGGTGTATCAAAGTACAGTGGGTTTCACAACTGGTACCAGTTACACCTGCAGCGAACAAGAATCGCTGGTGTACAATTTATACCGGGAGTCACGGAAAGGTTTCTGAAGGATACTCAGGTAGTCTACCTTGGGTTCCACTGGTTATTTTTTGCCTTATCTAATTCTGATAGATTGCGTTTCGGAGCTTATCAAACCGTCAGCACGGTTGTTTCATCCGAGGTATTTCGAGAACGGATCTCTACTGGAGCCAGGGTGGTCACGGACGTCAAACGACTCAGACTGTAATATATTAAAATAGAATGTCAACTCAAGTGTACCCGGTAAAGTCTCTTAAAATTGCTTTGTTATTTTATAAACATAAAAAATAAATCAATCAATCAATGAATAGTTAAGAAAATAATTAACATAAAATAGTAAATACAAATTTCCCTGGTCGATATTTCATGTTTATTTCATGCACACAGTTTTGGCGGTAAAATTCGCCAGCCTGTTCTTTCCCAGATTAAGTAAGATAATTATCATTCACTTTGCAGCCTCCTTTTATGACCCTATTGAAATTTACATGGGATGGTGCGAAGAAAGGTTCCTACAGTACTTTATTTGTAGGAACTAGCCCAGCCTTCGAGTTGGCCCTGTTCAGCACTTGTTTTCTTAGGATACCGCTCGCAAAGCATGAAGACGAATGTCAATGCAACATTGGCAAAAGTGTGGTAAACGTAGAGGTTGCTAGAAAAACTCAGAATGCGATTAAGACAGCATACCCTAAGAGTGTGTCCATACCGCGTAAGTAACTTTCTAGTAATTATATTGATAGTACATGGACCTAGCTGAACCTAAAAAGCGAACCTTCCGTCTTTTATACAATACAATAGGGAGTTTAAGATACCACAACGGCGACGGCGGCGAAAACGTCACTTAAAAAGTGACTTCATGTTCTTTCAAACTGCAGCGCGATTATCACAACTCGCTCATTTTGTCCAATGAAGGCAAACTTTCCTGGATTTGAATTCCTAAGAAAGATATTCAAGTTTAAAGAATGAAAGAGAAATTCGTCGTCGTATGTTCACGTTGTCGATTAAATGTAAAATTAGGCAATTCACGTCGTAGTCGTGCAGTGACGGCAAAGAAATGTACAAAAAAGCGTGATGTACGTGCGAAGTTGTTGTTTTGCTAACCTGAACCTATTGGTTTTTTGACGTTCTCGTTGCCGTCGCCGTAGTGACATCTTAAACTCCCTAATGAAGTGAATGATGCGGGCGCTGTGATTGGTCGTTGTCCATAATCTATTAGAATACAGATACATGGATGAAGTCACGAGAAAGTTGTTTTCTTTTTAATTTGTGAGATTGTTTTGGATAAAGAAAGTGAAAGCTTCGAAAAAAGTTTAGCAGGAGCTATTTAAAAAAAAGAAGAGAAATGGCGGAAAGGAGACAAAACCAGTTCTTGACAACTTGAGAATGCCTCAACTGCAAGAAATCCTCACGACAGTTGCCATCGTTCGTATCGTCGTCGTCGCTACGAGACTGACTCGCAATTTTATCGATTAATCAGAGACCAAAAAAGTCTCTGCTTCCGAAGTTCTTTTCTCTTTTTATCTTACTTGTTTACAGTTTCTCCGAAACGTTTTCTAGCGCTTTCACTTGCTTAAAGCAGAATAATCGCGAAAACATTTTGCAAAACTATTAATGCAACAAGGCTAAACTAGCAAAAATCCTTCGAACAGTCATGTAGTACGAGACAGGTATGTGAATATCGTTTTGTCTTCTCTCCTCACTGTATAAAACAAAAAGATCAAATGTTTCAGTGGGTCTAGCCTGAGTAATCAGACCTAATTCTTAAAGGGCTAACCTCAGATCAGGCCCAATTTTAGCGGTTCTCATACATTCTCTCTAACGGCTACCGCTAAAATTGGGCCTGATACAAACTGTCACAAGTTTGTGCTCACTGCGGCCTGATTTTGGCCGCAATGCTCATTGGCTGTTAGAACAATGCCACAAGATTTGATTGGCTGTTGGAATCAACGGAAGTTGAAAGCTCTTATTCCTCGCGTGGTTGTTTTCTCGAATGACCAGCCGTCGGCGGAGAGAAGAATCGATTTTGCTGTCTTTTTTACTGTTTTATCGTCTTAAAGGTAGGGGTTTACTGGCTAGCGATAAACGGCGAAATATATACCTAACTACCGACAAAACGAGAAAAAAATTACCGACTACCGACAGGGAAAATATTAACCGACAACCGACATAGTCCAACATTGTAGGGATGTTTTCACTCGGAAATAAATCGTGTTTTTCTATTTCTCATTTTTATCAAAAGTATGCCGGTGTGAAGGTAAATCATTTTATTAAATCTCATTCTCATTTAGAATTTCCTGTCATCAAATTACTTGTGTCAAATTGTTACAAAATAGCGTATAGGTTCGATTTCCGCTTTTTTCCTGGCATTTATTGGGGACTGCCTATTTCTTGCCAGCAACTCAAACTCATTTCAGACCGTTCAAATGGTGCGCCTTTGTTTCTCCTCCTTTTCGGAGAAAATCCAGGAAAGGGCGTGCTCATTTCCTGGGAAACAGACTTCAGTCACTAAAGTTTATCTCAAACACTAGACTGGGCGTTTCCACTTCGACCACTTATTTCTCTTGACTACTTCGCTGGTCTTTGAACTGGGGAAGAACTGGTTAAAGACTACTCAAAGTGGCGTAAACGATCGCGCAGCTTGAGCAAACCAGACTTTAGATAAGGTTCCATTGAAATCAAATGATTAATCTACGCGGAATGAAGATGTATTACCCTTGTATAGAGGTTAAACTGTGTGGATTGAATAACGAATATTAATAATTAACTTGTCTTTTCAATTATTAACCTAGATTTACCGACAACCGACAAAGGCGGAAAATATTAACCGACGACCGAAATTTTAACTGACAACTAACAACCATTCACACCCCCCCTCTATTTCTAAGTCCGTCGAGCGCGGGTGATAAAATATAAGAGACAAAAAGAAAAATGAAACAACGCCTGTTTAGTGTGTACAAGCTTAAGTTAGTTTGACCTCTTTGTCTTGCTGTGCCCCATGTGTTCAGTGAGGTGGAGGAAATTATAGTTTTTGATCAAAACATCCCACTTTGTAATAGTAAAAAAACGTAAATATAAAAAAATCTAATGCTTCAAGAGTGTAAAATATTTTTTTATCACTAGCTCAAAGTTGTGACAATTAAAAAAACAAAAAAAAAAAAATATATATATATATATAAATAATACAAAATATACTGAAACGTAATCCTCTAGCCGTGCGATTGAGAAACCTATGGCCCTTTTTATTAAAATGTTTTCAGTTCTGGCGTTCAGTTAAACATGTAATTCCCTAACGGCAGGTAATGAATTTTGCTATAATGTTTTTTGATAAAGCCACAGCGTGTACTATTGCCAACAATGACCGCACAGACTGCGGCTTCATTGGGATCGACAAGGAAGGCTGTGAAAAGAGAGGCTGTTGCTGGTTCCAAGTACCCGGACAATTTAACACTCCCTGGCCATTGTGTTTTTATCCAACTGGTACGTGTACACTGCTTTTTATTTGAATATAGAGAATCTTTATTTACTGATGCTTAGGCAGCATATTTACTAAACGTCACCCTTAACCAAGGTACCTGAAATTATTGGGGGGGGGGGGGTTGCTGGCAGGGAGCGTTCGAACATTGTGCGTGCCTCTGGAAAAATCCTGTGCCTCTATTTGACTTATACATACCTGCCGATTTCTTGAAAACGAATCAAGTGGACTTTACAGCCATTTGAATGAAAAAGGGTCAAAAGGCAGGGTTTTTTGCATCGGATAAGCTCGAAAATAGCACTAGCAAAGAAAAAGGGGGGAAAAAAAAGAAAAAGAAAGAAAGAGCGAGGAGGAAGAGAGGAGGAGAGCAATAGTTGCACTTTTAGGGCGCTTTCCATTTCTCAGAATTAACCGGCCACTGCGGCCAGACTATACCTGTCGTACTGAGAATTTCACCTTTAATCATAACTATCTAGCCAGATCAGTCAAAATCCTAAAAAGCCAACGCGAAGAAAAAAGCTTATTTCGTTGTCAGTTCTGACTTTTGGAAGGCGCCCTTAGTTATTCCTTTGGCTACTATAGAGAACAGCCTGACGGAAGAGGTCGGTAACGTTTTCAAAAATCCGGTTAGATTTATTAATAATCTCATTAAAATTACTTAAGATAACCCATAAAATTCCAGCCCGGTTCTTTTGTTAAGCTCCCGTGGGGATTACATTCTAGGTTCCAGTGACGGGGATAACCCTTCCCGGGATTTTTTGGGTAGAAAAATTTGGCAAGTATTGTTTGTGTCTCTTGATTTAAGAAGGAACTCAAGATTTGATCTGTGGATTAACGCCTGCCTATCCTGGCCACGTTGTTCCGCTAATAAAGTACAGTCAAACTTGTTTTGGGACTGTTTAAAAAATTCACGCATTACTTACTACACTCCATAAGGTGTCCCGGGATGTTTGGAAGTGGCTTTTCGATTCTTAAAAACCCCGTCAGGATATACCATATAACTTAACTCCGTTCAAATCATTTTTGTAAACCTCTTTTTAATATTAACAAGATATTGAAGAGAGAAAGAAGTTTAGTTTGTTAAGTATGGGACTGATCGCTGCGACTTTGTTTCATCGAAATTCCTATGAAGGGATCATTTTTTTCTTTCCAATTACTGAACTTTTTTTTTCTTCTTTCATAAGTAGATACTGGAGTGAATTACCGTAAAATTCCGAAAATAAACCCCGGGGCTTTAATTTTTCAAAGGCCCTTTTTGAGGGGCTTATTTTTTGAGGGGCTTACATTCGGAGGGGCTTATCTACGGAAGGAAATTTGCGTTTCAAAATCGATTGGGCTAACCTTATAGTTGGAAGGAAATTTACCGTTTTTGATTTGTTTTGCTTGTATTTGAGGGCAATTTTCAAGTACAACCTCCCGGAGGGGCTTATATTCGGAGGGGTGATTTAACGGAGGGTTTTTTGCGTTACGAGTCTGGGGGGCCTATATTTGGAGGGGCTTATACATGGAGGGGCTTATTTTCGGAATTTTACGGTAACAACTTACGAATTACAAACAAATTATAAAGAAGGTGTGGTGAAAGTTAGAAATTGACTTTTCATTTAGTTACACTCGACGTTTTGTTCTTGTTTAAGAACACAAATGTCATGGTATTGCTCCCAACCATCGAAAAGATTGTGGTTACGTAGGAATCACCCGCCAAGAATGCGAGAACTATAAAAGTTGTTGCTTCGACAATCATATCCCAAATGTACCATTCTGCTTCGAAGGAAATCCTTGAGAGAAATAAAGAAACTATACTGTACAGAAGGTAGGGTTTAGTGTTTCTAATAAAGGTAGAATATAGTTCTTTCTTCCAGTTTTTTGTGTTGCCTGAAAAGTTAGTTTACTACAGCATGCGAGCAAGCTCTCCCTGGGGTACGCCCGCTAACAGGCTATGGCTCTACTACTGTCTGACTATCCCCTCTAGGCGCGTTACTTAAACCATTGAAACAAACCAATGAGTTACTGTCCAATGGTTTTCACCATAACCACCACCACCACTACTACCACTATTATCATCATCGTCATCGTCCTTTTCCTTATCCTTATCCGCACCTCCCTTGTTTCGTTTCCGTTGGTGTCACTGCTGCTTCAAACTAATTTCTTTCTTAATTTTCTTTTGCAGCCAATGAGTGAGTTAGCATTGAAAACTTTTAAACCATTGATAGAAGCTGAATAAATTCATTATTCCCAAAGCTGAAGTAATATTAATGAAAAGCAATTGAATGATTATTCTGAAAGTTGAAAATAATGATAATAAAGAAAATTAATGTATTCCCAATAGTCTTGCGTTCGTCTTGTTCAAGTGTTTAAGTTATCTTTCTTTTTCAACTCGTTTTTTCGGTGAATATGTTAATTAATATAAAGGTGATCGATGCCTGGTAGGCTATCGTTTTAACCTTACTCCAAAATTAGTGACTCTTTGATACTGAAGAAAATTAAAGAAAGGCAGCAATATTTTGCGATTTCTGGAAACAAAAGATACTCATTCAAAGTTCCTTTCTGCAAACGAATCAATGAAATTCTCAAGACTCATCTAGACAACCTTTGAAAGCTTTAAAACGGTTTGAACTTACCTGAACTCTCAGGAAACAGCCCTCCAATTTATGAAAGTTATGGGTCCGTTTGGAAAAAAACCTAAGAAATCGTTGTGACTGGACAATCTTCTTCCGGTTCTAGTAGTCGCGCTTATATATGACTTTGGAGCCTTGTCATATCTCCTTGTTCTCTTAAATTTTCCTTGGTTCCAATCGTCTCTATTTAGGTGTCATATTCCTAGAATTAACCTAAAACTTAAGGCTGGTTTTTACTAGCGACGGAGTAGGATTCGTAATCAGAAGCGCAGAGCTAGTGAAAACAGCTTTCTTATTCCGCTTACGATTCCGCCATTTAAGTTCCGCTTATGATCTAGTGAAAACCAGATTGTCCGAGTCGGAAGCCGAAGCAGAAGAATTTTTTTCAAACTCATTAATGATTCATAAAGAAAATACAAAGGAAATTAATGTTTAATGAGTGTTTGGAAATCAAATGAAAAACTGCTCAGTTTTGCATCCTTAATTTCTCTTTCTAAAATTATTTTGTTTGAGAAGTAATATCAAGCATTCGACACAGTGTTTCATCACCAGATGAAACACCTCGAAGTTGGTCAAAAATACTCCGCTACGCGTCGTACTTTCAACTTTCTCCTCGGTGTTTCATGTAATATATCAAACATGAGATGCAGTGTTTCATCACCAGATGAAACACCGAGAAGAGAGTTGAAAATACGACGCGCAGCGGAGTATTTTTGACGAACTTCGAGGTGTTTCATCTGGTGATGAAACACTGTGTCGAATGTTTGATATTTCTTCTCAAACAAAATCATTTTTGAAGGAGAAATTAAGGATGCAAATACTAAGCAGTGTTTCATCCGATTTCCAAACACTCATTAAACATTAATTTCCTTTGTATTTTCTTAATGAATTATTAATGAGTTTGAGAACTGGTGATGAAACGCTGCGTCTCATCACGGGCCGCCCAGACGTAGTGTGTGTCAATATATTAATATTCACATGGCCAAAATGAGATGAGTCGTCGAAACTCCCGTGGACTACAATAGTCTAAAAGTCAAAATATAACAAAACAAAGCTAAGATACCTTTAACTGAACGTCTCCTACTAATTCCTGGCCAGTTAAAGTGGCATTTTGTTGAGTTTTGCAATCGTAGGTACTATACACTAAAGAAGAATTAAAGGCTGGCTACAAAACAAACGGACCATCTCCACGCGCCTTCACGCGATAAATTCGACAATAATCGACGAATCCACTCCAAATTGCCATCGGCTTATATGCAGGTAACGTGTGCTCCTGCTTCTTGCTCGCTGGCTCCACAAAACCCATCGCAACTGCACAATAATCGCTCGCTCATCAACAAACACTGTTGACCTTTACGCCTTGATATGACCGCAAACTGCCATTAATACGCGACGAGAATATTCAAGCTTAGCTACCGCGTCCGCGCGACAATGCAGCACTTGCTATGGGAGGGATGGTACTATTGCTTCTTGGTCAATCGACGCTGAGGGAGGGGCCGCTGCCTTGATTTTGACCAGAAAACAATAGGCGATCGCGCGACCGTCCTTAACTTTCAACAGGACGGCCCTGGTTTTCAAGTTCGAATTCTTCTAACGTTCGCTGTCACAGCTGCTGTCACATTGTTCGTCCAGCCGCTTGCGTAGGTTCTCGACTCTACTGGACCTATTTGCTTGGATTAATTAAATAAACAGTTCTTTCCAGAACTACGTCTTACTCCACAATATGTTGTCCAAACTGGTGAGGGAGGACGAGGATTTTCCTCCTAGGAAAAAGGCAAAATCTGGCCTCGGCTATGCAGCTGAATAGAAGATACAGCTGAAGATATGGCAAAGTAAAATTTGTGTGCGAGTATATCTTTTTTTACTATTATTATTTTCAAAACTCAGGGGCACCCAACGACGATTTCCTCCCTAAATACATTGAAAACACTTTTAAGCTGTCCAGAGTACTTTTAATAGATCTCTAAAAATGCATTCTGAGCGGCGCTAATACATACATTTAGTCAGGAGCGCTAAAAGTGAAGCTCTCGATAATATTTATAGTTTGCTCATACTAAACATAAATTCGTGTAATGTTAAGCGGAGAAGGCAACGATACAGGGGCACCCAACGACAGTTTCCTCAAATACACTGAAAACACTTTTTTAGCTATTCATAAAGTACTTTTAGCTCCATAAAAATGCACTCTAAGCGGCACTATAAAGTTTGTATCTCAGTGTTCGACCATTCTAGGGGAACTTCAGTCTTCTCGAAATTACGAGGAATTCAGAATTATTTTCCCGAATTTTAGATGCAATTTAACGTATTACGAAGGAGATAATTTTTCAGATTCCTTCTTCCATCACATTTTTGAATCCGAAAATTTTAGGTTCCTTTTTATTTACGAAAAATAGCCTAACCCAGGGAGTGAAATGTGAAAAATTAAACTTCAGAAAATCGTAGGGAATTTATTAGCATGATTACGATGAGCTTCGAAAATTGTACATGAATGGAATTGTCATCTAGAAATTTTTAGCCAAGTGAAAGAAAATTCCAGGCAAAATTTGCTTCTCAGAACAGATATTTTACAGAAAACAGTCGTTGGATGCTCTTGACCAGAACTGTGAAAAACAACAATAGGAGTAATTGCAGCACACTTTTTTGTACATTTCCTTGCCGTTGATTTGCATGACTACAACGTGAAACGCCCAGAAACTTCCTGGTTTTCACGTTTTATGGAGGAAATATGGTACATGTACTTGCTCACTTTTTTTTAGCTCCGCTACAAAATCGTATCTGTTCGGTGATCCTAGGGCAAATTGGATCTTTTTGAAAATTACAAGTGCTTCAATATTATTTTCCTGATTTATTGACCTAGAAGCAATAGTAACATCCCTCCTATAGAAAGTGCTGCATTGTCGCGCGGACGCGGTAGCTAAGCTTGAATATTCACGTCGCATATTAATCCTGGCAGTTTGCGGTCATATCGAAGCGTAAAGGTCAGCAGTGTTTGTTGATGAGCGAGCGATTATTGTGCAGTTGCGATGGGTTTTGTGGAGCCAGCGAGCAAGAAGCAGGAGCACACGTTACCTGCAGATTAGCCGATGGCAATTCGGAGCGGATTTGTCGATTATTCTCGAATTTATAGCGCTTCGCGTGAAGGCGCGTGGAGATGGTCCGTTTGTTTTGTAGCCAGCCTTTCATTCGTCTTTAGTGGATAGTATCTACAATTGCAAAACGCAACAAAATGCCACTTTAACCGGCCAGGAAAGACAAGGATACGTTCAGTTAAAGGTATCTTAGCTTTGTTTTGTTATATTTTGACTTCTGGGTTATTTTAGTTCATGGAAGTTTCGATTTGTCCATGTGAATATTAATACATTAATAAATTTATAATTTAAATCAAACAATAAACTTGTATTCCACAATTCAGTTAACTTTAGAGCACATTTATGTGACTTTTGAGGGAAAGGCTACGTGATTTTAGAGAAAAATAATTTGCAAACAGCCCAAGAGTGAACCAAATCTTAAATCGAAGTGATAGCCTCGTATGTACACCCAAAAACTGGCTCTTGATCACCGTAGATTAATTAGGCCTGTAAAAAAAATCAGGCCAAATTTTTTACGTTCGACAAGTTTACTTTGCAAAATCTTGCCAACAAATCTGGTTGCGTGTAAACCAACCTTTTATACCATTTATACATCACATCTGAGGTGAAACAGTAGTATGAGGCACTGTTTTTATCACACAAAAAGCAGTATTTCACAATACAATACTCATTCAATATTCAGGACAATGGAAGTACGCGTGGGCTTTTAGCTAAACCGTTAAAAAATTTCCAAAATCACCTATACGGCCATCCGGTTCTCACTTTTGTAGTGCGAGCTGTGGCGAGTGTTTGAATGAAAATTAACAGAGTTACGCTCCAACATAATAAAGAATTTATTATGTTTATTTTTTATTCAATGGCTTAACGCGCGGCGTTTTTAGTACCCATGCAAGCGATGTTCACTGAACGACTGAAAACAATCGGCACAGCGATTAAAATTACATGAGAGACTACTAGCAATCAATAAAGAAATATAATTCGGTGAGACATATACAGAGACAATAATTTCATTCAGGAAGACAAGTATTAAAGTGTCCCTAAAAATCCTGAGTCTTCAAGCTTCAAGCTTAAATTTATGTTTTAAGCCGGCTTCCCGGTGTTTGCTTTTTTCAAAGACGAACTCGAGGCAACAAAATCGCTCAAAGATTTCTTTTACAGCCAGAATTATAACTAGATATTCTTTGGAACGTTTTCTTACTTTTTGCGGTGAGAAACTGTCTAAAGGCTTTTTAAAGTTCTGTAAGCTTATATCAAGAAACCTGATACTCGGTCAGATCATTGTCTCAAATCTTTCAAACGTGTATAAACTAAGTACCCGCGTAAACTACGCTCGACTTCATTAAATTAGATACAAAAAACAAACATCAAATACAATAATTACTCTGGCTTACCATTCGAGATGCAGCTCCTGAAAGATATCAAGTAAGGCCAGTATCGCTTCAGGCTTTGTAACCCTCTTACGCATCAAGCAAGGTGAAAACGAAAACGATGGCATCCGAAATCGGATTTCCGACTTTGACAAGCAACTTATTTCTCAACC